CACAAAGTCAGTAACAACCCCCCTGTATTCCCCCTCGTCGCCCCCAGATACACATCCAACAATGGCGGTATTGTCTGAGAACTTTTGTAGATGACACTGGTGGCAGTTGTACTTGAAGTCCGACGTGTAGAGGGTGAACAGAAAGGGGGAAAGCACTGTCCCCTGGGGTGTCCCTGTGCTGCAGGCTACCACGTCCGACACACAGTCCCACAGCCTTATGAACTGTGGTCTGTCTGTGTGGTAGTTAATAGTCTATGCAGACGGGTGTTGGTCTACACCTGCCCCCTCCAGCTTCCCCCTCAGCAGTGATGGCTGGATTGTGTTGAAAGCACTGGAGAAGTCAAAGAACATGACCCTCACAATACTTCCGGGGGACTCCAGGTGAGATAGGGCTCGATGCAGCATGTAGATAATGGCGTCATCAACCCCGATGCCAGGACGGTATGCAAATTGCCAACGGGTCAAACGCCATCGCACAATGGGGAAATTCAGAATCAGAATCTGCTTTATTGGATGGGCATATACATATCCCCATGCAAGGGGCAAGTAAACAGTAAACCAACATAAGTCTGTGTAGCATAACAAAATAAGCAGTATAAACAGGCAGTAAACAATGCAGCCAGACAAAGGAATGCTCATTGTGAAACAAGATAAATAGGAATAAAAATAGAGTACTTAAAACTAGAGACCTGTGCGGATCTGTATAATCTGTACAATGTATATTTACAGGTATTTCACTGAGGGTTATTGTCTAGTCATACTGTCGTGGGTCAAATGTTCATCAGAGTGACAGCCTGGGGGAAGAAACTGTCCTTGTGCCTGGTTGTCTTGGTGCACAGTGACCTGTAACGCCGTCCAGAGGGGAGGAGTTCAAACAGATTATGTCCAGGGTGTGACGGGACTGCAGTGATCCTCTTCGCCCTCCTTTTGTGAGGTGTACAGGTCCTCCATGGAGGGCAGGCTCACACCAATGACCTTTTCTGCAGTCCTGACTGTCCACTGAAGTCTGTACTTGTCCTGTTTGGTTGCTGAGCCAAACCAGACAGTGATGGAGGTGCAGAGAACAGACTCAATGATTCCTCTGTAGAACTGTATCAGCAGCTCCTGGGGCAGGTCGAACTTCCTGAGCTGGCGCAGGAAGTTTGACCTGCTCCAGGAGCTTTATGTTTCTGCCTGTAGGTTGAAATAAGATGGACCATACAGTGATCAGAGAGTCCGAGGGCTGCACGGGGGACAGAGTGATAGGTGTCTTTTGTTATGTAGCAGTTGTCCAGTGTGATTTTGTCCCTGGTGGGACAGGTGACGTGCTGTCTGTATTTGGGCAGTTCGTGGGGGAGGTTTTCTCTGTTAAAGTCCCCTAGAACAATGAGTGGAGAGTTGGGATGTTCTAGCTCCAGGCTAGTTATCCGTTCTGCCAGGAGCTGTAGTGCGCTAGCGTGGGCCTGCGGTCTTATGTACACTCCAATTAGAATAAAAGAATTCAATTCTCGGGGAGAATAAAAAGGGTTGCAATTGAGAGTCTCTACGTCCATGTTACACGTCCTCTGTAGCACCGTGACATCTGTGCACCAACCTTTATTTCCCCAGACAGCTCCGTTACACGATCTGCTCTGTCCACCTGGAAGCCTGGTACTTGTATTGCGCTGTCTGCGATGGAATCACTGAGCCAAGTCTCCGTAAAGCATAAAGCAGCAGAGCGTGCGAGGTCAGAGTTGGTTCTGTTGACGAGAAGAATTTCATCCATCTTGTTGACCAGGGAGAGGAGATTTGCTATGTGGACAGATGGGAGTGGAGTCCGGGTCCCTCTCTGGCGTAGCCTCACCAAGGTGCCTGCTTGCTTGCCATGGCGGCATTTCTTCCAGGTCCCATATATGGCAACTGTGCCTCCGATCAGAATGTCCATACAGTATTCGCCGTTCACAAAAATTGGAGAAAGGTAATTCGGTGTGACTTGTTCAAGGATTTTATTGTCAATTCACCATATGCGCAAGACATACAGAAAATCAAAACACCCTTTCACTCTCACCTGGTATTGGGTGCCATAACATTTAGGAACAAAAATAGAATAGAAAGTCACTTTTGGCTTTTCCCGTTTTAGGGATCACCACAGCGAATCATCATGCTGGCGACTCGCATGTTGACATTTGGCACGTGTTTTATGCTGGATGCCCTTCCTGACTTGAACCCAGGCCACAGCAGCAAGAGCGCTGCGCCTTAACCACTAGCCTACCAGGGACTGCTAGGAACTAAAATAGAAGAGAATAAGAACTGGATTAATGTAATTAGGATAAATCTAAACGGTACAGCCAATAAGCTGCGACTCAAAACCGTGTACAGTCAGTGACAATAGTGCAAACAATAATAGGAGATTGTCAGATGGTTCAGCATCACCAGGGCATTGGTGATGAGGAGCAAATACAGTAACATATGAGGTATACATGGACAGTACTGCAAATGACCAACAGCAGCAGATATCCTGGCAAAAAAAAAATTTAAAAAAAATTCAGCAGCAGATTTACATATAACAGAAGGGGGAATTGTATTGAGTTTGTGCAAACAGCAGGGGTAGTCTTTTTATGTTCTGTGGTGGGTTACGGTCCAGGGGCAGAGGGGGGGAGGTAGTGAACAGTGTTGTCCGATATTTAACAGTTCTCCTCTGGTAAAAGTAACCCAGGATGGGTTGCAAAAGACAGAGAAAACAAAGAAAAACAACAAACACAAGAGAGTGCGAGTAACTAAGGCTGCCATCGCTGTCAGCGCCATCTTACCAAACACCAATTCCAATTCAAAATACCAATTCACACAGTTACAGCAGCAAAGGGACAGAAACAAAGCACTCACTGTTAAGAAGAAGAAGAGAAAGTAACAGAGAAGGTATCATCAATATAAACAATGTAACTATAATAAGTGCAAACCATTAACCCATATTTTTAACATGTCGTTTCGACTTGGGCAGTTCCCCAATAATATGAAAATAGCAAAGGTTATTCCTCTGTATAAATCTGGTGATAAGCACAACCTCACAAATTATAGACCGATTTCTCTGTTGTCACAATTTTCAAAAACTTTTTAATAACAGATTGGATACATTTATTGACAAACATAAAATCTTATTTGATTGCCAATATGGTTTTAGGTTGAAAAGATCGACATCCTTGGCCATTACTGACCTGATGGAGGACATTACAAGTGCTATGGATGAGAAAAAATATACGATGGGGATATTTATTGACCTAAAAAAA